ATTTAGGTTTGGAGGAGAGGAAGAAGTAATGAATCAAACAGAAATGCATAAAAGGTGAGAGAGAGAGAGAGAGAGAGAGAGTGTGAAAAGTGTGAGAGGTGTTGTGTTGTGGAATTTATAGGGGCACAAATTAGGGCACACATTCACACGTTCAGCATTTAATTTAATTAATTTAAAACAAAAAGTCACATCAAAAAGAATAATGGTTTAAAAGCATTAAATGATACTGACAAGTGTGAGGAGGAAAACGAGAATTTGAGAGTTCAAACAGTACCTCAAAACGGCGTCTCATTGAGTACACTCCACCTTTTCAGATATCACGTGACACGTGTTTGATGTTGATGTGCCTCTGAATCTCGTTAGAATAAGAAACGTTAAACAACACTCAGATCTTCTGAGACTTGTTAGATCAGAGTTTCACAAAAAATAACGTACCAAAAGAAATAATCAAATAAATTACTTCAGAATATAGATATTAGTCATATTTCATCTGAATAAATTTGACTCTGAATAATAGTTTTATTCTGGACAAAAATCCATACTAATATTCTTCAGAATAAATTTAAACCTATCTTCAGCAAGGGGTTTTGTGAAGATATCATCACATTGATGGTCTGTATCAACAAAGTTCAAACTAATAATTCCCTTATGAACATAGTCTCTGATGAAATGATGCTTAATTTCTATATGCTTTGCCTTAGAATGTAAAATGGTATTCTTAGAAAGGCAAATAGAAGAAGTATTATCACAGAAAATAAAAATGTTACTCTCATGTATCTGATAATCTTCTAGTTGACTTTTCATTCAGAGCATCTGTGTGCTACAACCAGCAGCAGCAATGTATTCTGCTTCTGTTGTTGAAAGCACTATTGTGGGCTGCTTCTTGCTGAACCATGAGATCAGATGACTTCCCAGAAACTAACAGCTTTCAGAAGTACTCTTACATTCTACCCTGTCTCCAGCATAGTCAGCATCACAGAATCCAACTAATCTGTATTCATCAGATCTTTTGTAACACAAACCCACGTTAGTAGTACCTTTCAGATACCTTAGAATCCTCTTAATAGCTGTTAAGTGATATTCTCTAGGATCTGATTGGAATCTAGCACATAGACAAACACTAAAGAGGATATCAGGTCTAGAAGCAGTCAAGTACAGAAGAGAACCAATCATACCTCTGTAGAGCTTCTGATCTACCTTTTTACTTACCTCTTCTTTACATAGGGTGCTTGTTGGATGCATTGGAGTCTTTTCTAGCTTGCTTTATGTTATGTTGAATTTCTTCAGAAGCTCCTTTACATACTTTGTCTGATGTATGTAGGTGCCTTCTGGAGTCTGATTTACTTGAATTCCCAGAAAGAATCTGAGTTCTTCCATCATGCTCATTTCGAATTCTGCTTGCATAGATTGAGCAAACTCCTTTCCAAGCGTAATATTGGTAGTTCCAAAAATAATATGACAGATTAAAATGTCTTTCTTAATTGATTTATGAAAGAGAGTAGTGTGAACTTTTCCTCTGATAAAATTATTTTCCATAAGGAAATTACTCAGCCTCTCATACCAAGCTCTGGGAGCTTGTTTTAAGCCATAGAGTGATTTCTTCAGTTTAAAAACGTGTTCTGGAAATTTTTCATTTTCAAAACCAGGAGGTTGATGAACATACACTTCCTATTCTATGAAACCATTTAAGAAAGCACTTTTAACATCCATCTGATATAGAGTGATGTTATTCTGTGCAACAAAAGAAATAAGCAAGCGAATAGATTCTAACCTTGCCACAGGAGCATATGTCTCTGTGTAATCTATACCTTCTTGCTGACTGTATCCTTGAGCAACCAGCCTAGCCTTGTTTCTGATAACTTCTCCTTGCTCGTTCAGCTTATTTCTGAAGACCCATTTTGTTCCAATGATGTTGAATCCCTTTGGTCTCGGAACTAGATCCCAGACGTCATTCCTTGTGAATTGGTTAAGCTCCTCTTGCATAGCAAGTATCCAATCATTATCATTCAGAGCCTCATTCACAGAAGTAGGTTCAATGATAGATACCAAACCAAATAATGACGTTCCAAAAGATCTGAGAAATGATCTTGTTCTGATAGGGTCATCCTTCTTCCCAATTATCATTTCCTCTGGATGAGAGGCTTTGATTCTGGATGATCCTTTAACATTTGGTTCTTCAGAAATTGTCAAGCTGTCCATCTGAGCAGTCAACGGAGTAGCATCTGACATTTCTTCTGGTGCTTTTGCTTGAGCTTTGTCTACCTCTGATTCTTCAGAGTCAGTGAGAAGGACTTCTCTATCTGCAGAAATTTCAAGCTGCTTTGGCTTTTGATTACCAAGCTTATCATCAAATCTAACATGAATTGATTCCTCTACAATCTGTGTCTCAGTATTGTATACTGTGTAGCCTTTAGAGCATTTAGAATATCCAAGCATCAAAACACTTATGAGCTTTAGAATCAAACTTGTTCAGATTTTCCTTAGTGTTCAAACTAAAACAAACACATCCGGAAGGATGGAAATAAGAAATGTTAGGCTTTCTATTCCTCCATAATTCATAGGGAGTCTTCTCCAGAAGAGGTCTTACAAACACTCTGTTCTGAATATAACAAGCTGCATTCACTGCTTCTGCCCAAAAATATTTTTCCATGTTAGTCTCGTTGATCATGGTTCTGGCCATTTCTTGCAATGTTATATTTTTCCTTTCTACAACTCCATTGTGTTGAGGAGTTCTAGGACAAGAAAAATCATGTGCAATGCCATTTTCTTTAAAAAAAATTTCAAAGTATTTATTTTCAAATTCTCCACCATGATCACTTCTGACTTTAACAATTTTAAATTCTTTTTCGTTTTGGACTTGTTTGCAGAAGTCAATGAATTCAGAATGTGACTCATCCTTGTGTTTCAGGAATTTTACCCATGTCCATCTGTTGTAGTTATCAACTATGACTAATCCATATTTCTTGCCTATGATGGATGCAGTTTTCACTGGTCCAAATAGATCAATATGAAGCAGCTCTAATGGTTTAGAGGTAGAAACAACATTTTTTGCTTTGAAAGAAGATTTTGAAAATTTTCCTTTCTGACATGCTTCACAAAAAGCATCTGAGTTGAACTTCAACTGAGTGTCATACCCCAAATTTGCCCTACCTCTGTACAATCTCTATTATGTATATTCACCTGTTTGCTTTATTCAAAAAGTCCAAAAATATGTTGTTATTTTCTCTTGAGGATGTCATGTTAGACGTGTAGATAATGTTGAATGAGGAATGGTTCAGGTCACCTAGTTGAATCTGATTTCTGCAAAGTTTTCAGTACAGTGCATACTTGAAGGTATTATTTCTTGATTTCAAGGCAATGAGGTTTTTGGGTCCATGGCAACAATTCAGGACAATTCCACTCCCTATTTAATAGCAAATTCGAATGTGGATTTATTGGAGTTCATTCATATCGGAGGCCAAAATAGATAAGACAAAATCATGAGAAATGATGGTGGAATTCGTGTTTCGGGTTTATAATTCCTTGAATTTCATGTCCAGAAAGGATTCATAGTCTCAAGAATTAATTCAAATTTTGGAAGAAGAGTTCAAAAGTAGATTGAAATTTGGTTCTAATATTGGGCACACGGGAGAAGTTCAAATTTTAACTACTAAGGCAATTGAAAATTTCAAATTAAAGCCTAGAGATTATGTTAATTAAAAGCCCATCTAGATGAGCCCATATTACTCAAATAAAAGTTCTTTGCAAATCCTCCATGATGACCCCACGGTATGTCCTTGCAGTTACAAATAAACCATAATTCAAGTACATCCTACATAATAGCCATGATTCATTGTAGCTGATTTCTCCTACAGCAAAGGACGGTGATACCACAACTTTTTCAATAATCCCATGTGCATTCCCTACCCCACTACCCACCTCTATTACGCTGATTTCTTTGCAACAGCGAAAAACACCAACCAACCTTCACGCCTGTATGAAGCTTTTCATGCCACTCTCGCGCAAATCCTGCGTCTCACGCATACAAGACCCTCCATATTCGTGTACCTGCAGCACGAATATCACACCACACAGAAAACCACTATCAAAAGGGAAAGAACAATACGTGAATCAACTCGTACGGCTCAGCTTTATCAATAGGACAAAACGACAAAACAAGTTGTACCTGATTTTAAAAAATGAAAACGCACAGCTACAACATTCCGCGCATAAAGACGGTTTTCCACTGCACCATAAAACATAGTAGTACACCCACAATCCATACCGCACCTGCACAAAAGTTTGAGAACAAGACCAACAGGCTATGACAGGATGCCAACAAACAGGCAACACCACTTTGTACCACATATTGTACGGTCCCCACAATACATAGTGTGTACGACATCGAAATGCAACGCCACTATCCAGCTGCATAAAGTGAAGTGGGCAAAAATGTTAGGAAAAGAGGTCGTTACTGCATACAACAGGTCACACATAGAAAAAGAGGCTCCAAAATCGTACATGTAAGGAGACAGAGGCGAGAAATCAAAGGAACAATAACAGCTAATACAACAATTCATTGCCGATAAATGGTACAAAACCAACGACGATCGTACGATGCAAGTTACCCACACACACCAGCCACACTTCAACAAATTGCAGCAGACCCAACCTGTACCTGAAGATTTCACAATGTTTCAAAACCGTTTTGTAATGAAACGACCCCAACGGGTATGACCAAAACGGCAGCAGAATTCCTTTGAGCTCATTCATAATCTTCTATATAGCCATCATTTCCCTCTCTAAAATAACAAGTTCGGGGAACCAAAGAAATGCTGCGAGAATTGCTCCAAATCGATCTTTCTACATCAACCTAAATTTTTCTTTCAATTCCTTTTAACTTTCTACACCTCAAATCACCTCCCAACATCTCTCCAACCTTCCAATACTCCTTCAAGAATTTCAACAATAAACCTCAACCCCATCTCCATCCTCTTCCTCTAAATTTTGGTGGATCTCCTATGGTGCAGTTTTCGTCGCCACATATAGAATCAACAAATCTACAGATGTCTCCTTCTCCTACTGAAACATTGCCAGCACCCTATAGAAATCCAGTTCGGAATAGTATCAGAGGCCCTGTTTCAGGACGAGGTGGTAGACAAGGATCAGGTTCTCATGGTCGCTGGTCCAATAAAGACAGAAGTTGTGGTCCAGAACGATATTGCAAGAGGTCCATGATGGAAGATCCATGGAAGTGTTTGAAACCTATTATATGGTGTTCAACATATCATTTTTCAAATATTTCATTTACAGCTGAGAATTTAAAACCCCAGGCTCCTTCAGAATCAACAAGTACAAAAAGGGAGGGACCATCTGCTATTTTTAGTAAATCCAATTCTGGACCAAGTCACGCTGAGTATTTGGCTTCTGCGTTCAATGAAGCTGCCAACACCGAAGAATAATGTATGATGACGACTGCATTAAATGCATTGGACTCATCAATGTTGTGTAGTAGCAGTTGTTGCACTTTATACACCAAACACCCAGGAGAAGGTTTTAGGAATGTGTTCAGGTTACTAACATGAATGATTTGTGCCAGATACAAGCTCCAAACTGATTCAACACCAGTATCAATCATGCTCCATCAATTCTCTAATCAACAACATCACCATCAACCTGTGAAAGAACAACAAAAGGGATGTGCAAGAACGCTTCTATCAGAATAGGGTTACGTACCAAAAACTAATAAACAGAAAGTACAGATTCATGTACATTACCTCAAGTTGCTACTTAACCCAAGTATCAATTTTAACACAGTACATCACCTAGTGACCAAGCACTGTGAATCCAATACAAGACATGAACCTACAATGGACCAAGCTCAATGTAAGAACAGGAGCCATATGGTGAGGTTTTGAATTTTGTTGGTATCTCAAATGAACGATCTTGGAACATCATGTGAGGAGAATTATAGTTATCAAATACCGTGGCATAGTGGCTTTCAAATGCGCATATACTGATGAGGCATGCTCCAGTTGCTCTGAATGCAAACTTGCCAATAAAAGTACTTCAAAGGGTTGAGTTCCTGTGAATGATAATACAGTCGGTAACGGTGCTCAGATAGCAACAAAATTGTAGTTTGGTGATTTGAAACAGATAGAAAATCAGGCTCAAAAAATATTTCATACCAAATGGAGATGGAAATTGGGAATTTTGATCGGGCTTACCAAATTAAGTTTAGAGATTCACCAACCACACCTTTAAGACCTAGGGAAGAGGAAGTTAACTATGTGTTCGTCATGTTTTCTCAGGCTGCATTTCTAGCAAGGCGCATGGAAAGAGATACAAAAGAATGCCTTTGCCAGCATGGAGGTGTATAAGGTTCATGACCTACAAAACAAATCAAAGACCATCAATGAGTATACACAGGACAGAAGAAAGAGGTTTATGTGAGCATAAGAACAATTCATACCTTCATTATGATTGTCATCATTATGTGACAAGTTGTTGTCTAAGCATTCCAAACATGTTTTCCAAACCATCAAAACGACCATTTTCTTCATTGAAACTCCTCCCAGACCTCTTTTCCACATCGACCTTCACCCCCATTGTTATTAACTTCAACCATAATGACCCTGCGAAAAGTTCAAACACAGAATAAACCAACACGGCAACAGATGTGTCACACACGTAACTTGTACGAAAAAGTCCACAATACACCACTACTTGTACCATTCTGAAAAATACATTGAAACCGGTACGAAATTCAGCCCAGAACCACGTACCCTCTCTGCTTTTCATCCTACAGTGTAGCAAAACCACAACATCGTACCTTCTCCCAAATTCCCAAGATACCCTTTAGAGCTTGCATAAATACCATCTTCTCGCAGAGTAAAAAGGGGGAGCCTCAAAAAACCCTACCCGCCGTCTCTTCCAAAATCTCCCTCAAACGACCCTCATCAAACCCCAGATCACTCCCTCAAACGACCCTCAACAAATCCCAAACAAAATCCTCCATTTCCACCTTCAATCATCTATTCCGAATACAAACCGTCAAACATCTTTTCAACTCCCATTTTTCAATAATAAACCTTCAAACCCACAGCTCGAATCAAAATAAATAACATCACCAAATTTTGAAACCCAAACCGAGAACATATTGAGATGAAGAGAGATTAAGAACTCGTTAGATCTAGAAACTTCAAATCAGATAAAAAGTGCGAGAGAGAATGATGGCATTGAGCGAGTTGATGCTGTTGTTTATTTTCGATCTCTGTTAACCATGGATGGAGTTTGATTGTTTTGTTTTTTTCTGTGAAAAAAGGGTATGCTCTAATATCGTTTTTTTCTTCCCCAAATTTAATATATCGATAATGGTGTGGTGAATTAGGATCCCTTTTTTTTTTGCCATGAAGAGCTGTGTTGGATCGTTTTGCCTTGTTTAAGCATGGATCTGGTTTGTTTCTTTTATTTATTTGATGTTAAAAATGTATATAGGTTCTAATTTGATTAAACTGATTTGTTGGATGGGCAAACATGCCCATAGGATCCTCAACGTTTCTGATTCACCCTCCATTTTCAGTCATTCCCCTTTCCTTTTTTAATGTAATTATTTTATTCAAATTAGTTTTAATAGGTTTTTTGTAAAAGTTTATTTTAAACAAGCCACTCTAAATTATTTTAGGTCTTTCATAAATAGTTAGCATCTTATATATTTTATAAACTAGTTTAGTTTTATATATTTTTTTGTTCTAACTTTTCTTTAGATTTCTATATATATTATAAACTTTCTTTTTAAAATCTATTTTTAGAGCTTTATTTATTTTATAATTTCAATTTATATTATAGTTTAGATTCTTTAGAGTTGATTTTTATTTCGCATTTATCGTTGGGCATCTTTGTTTTTTTGGTCAATGACAATTTTTAAATTATTATCGGTCAAACTTATTGATAGATGATAATTTTAGTCGAGACTATTTCACTTGCCCTACAAATTATCTTTTAAACATTTTCTCGGAGAAACTCCAAAAGAGGGAGATTCTTGAAATCTAGCATTTCTTGGATCTTCGAATGAGCGACTCTCGAGACTCGCTCTTGAGTTGTTGTTCATTCAATCTTTTGGCTTTCTCAAGCATATTCTCAACGTCTTTTTGATCAAAATCCCGAAAGAATGAGGCACGTGGAGTCTAGCATTCCTTGTGTCTTCGAGTGAATGATTCTCGAGGCACGCCCTTTGAGTTGTTATTCACTCAACCTTTCGAATTCAATCTTTTTTCCCATCATTCTCCTGAGTCGAATGCTCGTTCGCATTCGCAACCCATCTCATCCACAATTCCTCGTGGTCTCGATATTAGGATCACCCTCAGGGACTAATATCGTTTCTCACAATCCTAACCCTTGACACGTCGTCAAGTCGGTTCAATCTTCGATTAAATCCTCGACACGTCGTCGAGCTATTCCAAACCAACTTCTTTTGGCCTCACATGCCATTCTTCGATTCGATCCTTTCACAAACATTTCCGAAACTTACGAAAGAGGGATATTCTCAGAATCTAGCATTCTTTGGATATTCGAATGAGTAACTCTCGAGGCGCGCCCTCGAGTTGTTATTAATTTATTCTTTCGATTTCAAAACATCCAACTCTTTATCTTCAATTTATTCAGTCAATTCCTGAAAGAACTGAGTTCTTGGAGTCTCGTATTCCTTGGATTCTTGAGTGACAAGCTCTTGAGACGCGCTCTTGGGTTGCTTGTCAGTCACCCTTTCGTCTCCTTCTCAAAACTTTCAATCTATTCAAATCTCCTCTTTTTTCGTGGTCGTCTCCACGAACTACGACTGCTCTGATTCTTCATTCACTCTGGAATGTATGATACGTAGGCACAAGATTGTGATGATCTTGGCGAGCACAATCCCCTCCATCTTCCGTTTCCCCCCATCCTTTCCTGTAGTCGAACTACGACGCTCTGATTTCTCATTCTCGTCCGAATGAGCATACGTAGGCACAAGGGCCCTAATCCTTGGTGAGCACCCTATTCTCTAACCACCCATCTCTCCTTTGCGTCTTTAATCTTTTAACCTACCAATTCTACCTTTAACAACGAGAAGAAAACAAGTAAACCTAAAACAACACTCCCCACAATTACCTTAAGAGGTTCCCGTCGAGTACGACGGACGTGAGGGGTGCTAATACCTTCCCCTCACGTAACCGACTCCCGAACCCGGAACATGGTTGCGACAACCTGGTTCCTATCCTTTCGTCTTTAGGAGGTTTTCTCGATATTTTCCTCTCCCGTTTATTCAGGATAATAAAGTTCGGTGGCGACTCTGTCGAACCGCATTTCCGCGCCTTTCGCGCGATGGTCGTTTCTCCGAAATGTCTCCGTGATTTTTCGAGGTGCGACAGGTGGCGACTTCACTGGGGACATTTTGCTCCATGCAAAGAGAGATTCGATCCTATCTTTTGGTTTGTGAGGAGTGTTTGTTTTTATTTGTTTTCTTTTTGTATTTGTTCTCTTGTAGATTTTATTTGTGCTTGTTATCTGGGCCTTTCGGTTCTTGGGATGACGTCATGAGTAAAGCTCTATACCCGAGCTTTGGTAAAAGCAGAGAGAACACATAGTTTAGAATTGGTAGTCGAGTAGTGTTAGTCTCCGAGGACTTACTCCTTGTGGGCCTAGCATGAAAGCTCCTCCAGAGGAGACCTATTCGTAGATCTCGTTGTAACACAGCTAGCCTGTTACACGACTTGATTAATGAAGGGTCTGTGATTCTGGGAACCCTTGTTAGCACCAGTTCCGATATTGGTGGTCGTGTAGTGTTAGTCTCCAAGGACTCGCTCCTTGTGCGCCTAGCATGAGGACCCCGCTCAGGAGAGACCTTATCATCATTATTGTCATAATACAGCCAGCCTGTTGCGTGACGCTAATACGACTAGTGTCCGTGATCCTGGGAACCAAACATAGAAACCATCCCGTAAGTGGGTTTATGGGTAGAATGTTTAGACCTTCCCGTATAGGTTGTACCTGTCAATTTTCTTTGAGCAAGATTATGTTCACTTATCTACCACGGTTACCAGCTGCAGGAGCTGTTCGAACTATGATCTTAGGATCCTGGATCTTGTATCTTGCATTGCATCTTGCATATCATTTGCATTGCATTTCATATGTTGTGCATTTTGCATTTCCAGTCCTCCAACAGAATCTTATGTCTCCGTTCCTTCTTCTCCAGTAAATCAAGCTGATTCCCCGACACCAGTACGCAACTAGAGCCAATACCAGACGAATGATGGAGCAGATTCAACAGGAGCAAGTCGCCTTCAGGGAAGAGTTGGATTCCATGAAAGGAAAGATCGACCAGATCCTCGAAGCCATCCTCACAGCCAGGAGAGAGGAAGAACAGCGTGAAGCCGCCGCTGTCGTCAACAACAATGGACAAGGGTCTACTGCCATCCCTTTGGTTCCA